GCTTGGGCTACTCGACGTCTAAGACAATACATGTTGTATTATACCACATGGCTCATTTCAAAGATGGACCCCATAAAGTACATTTTTGAAAAGCCATCTCTCTTGGGTCGAATTGCAAGGTGGCAGGTTCTCTTGTCCGAATATGATATTGTCTATGTGACTCGAAAGGCTATTAAGGGGGGTGCTTTGGCTGACTACCTAGCTCAACAACCTATAAATGACTACATACCGGTGAAGTTCGATTTTCCAGATGAGTATATCTCCACCATAACCACAAGTGAGGAAAGTTTAGACCCGCAAACTTGGACCATGATGTTTGATGGTGCTTCTAACGAGTTAGGTCATGGGATAGGGGCTATTTTGATATCACCCAAAGGGGAACTATACCCTCTTACCGCTAGATTATGTTTTGACTGCACACATAATATGGCAGAGTATGAAGCATAATTTCCAATAATGCAAGGAATTTGAACAACAAATTGATGAGTGAGCTCTGTGAACACTTTAAGATCAAACATCTCAACTCAACCCCTTATCGACCTAAGATGAATGGTGCAGTAGAAGCCGCCAACAAAAACATAAAAAGAATAGTTGAAAAGATGACTGTAACTTACAGAGACTGGCATGAAATGCTTCCGTTTGCCTTACATGGTTACCGCACCTCAGTCCGTACTTCAACTGGGGCAACGCCATTTTCTTTAGTTTATGGTATGGAAGCTGTTCTCCCTATTGAAGTAGAAATTCCATCATTGAGAGTTATCATGGAAGCTAAGTTACAAGAGGTTGAGTGGGTCCAAAGGCGTTATGAGCAGCTAAATTTTGTAGAAGAAAAGAGGTTGACGGCATTATGCAGAGGACAACTTTACCAAAGAAGAATGATGAAATCCTATGACAAGAAGGTGCACCCAAGAAGGTTTAGAGAGAGAGATTTAGTTCTAAAAAGAATTCTCCCATTACAGAAAGATCATCGAGGCAAATGGACCCCGAATTATGAAAGACCATTTGTGGTGAAAAAGGCTTTCTCCGGAGGAGCACTAGTTCTGACCAACATGGATGGCACTGAATTTTTAAATCCAGTCAACTCAAATCATGTTCGAAAATATTATGCATAGTTTCTGATGTATTTCGAAAAATTTCACTTTGATCTCAGTATTATGCTTGAAAGGCAGTTTTGTGTAGCCTGTGTCAAGACTGGTCCGTTGTCTTTTAGTTTTCTGTTGGTTAAATCGAACCCGATAGATCGTGGTCGAAGCCTGTGTCAAGCCAGGTTTGTTGCCTTTTAGTTTTCTGTTGGTTAAATCGAACCCGATAGATCGTGGTCGAAGCCTGTGTCAAGCCAGGTCCGTTGCTTTTTTTTTCTCTCTCTCGCCTTCCCAATACTCTGTCTTTTGCCTTTGTCTACCCTTTTAGTTCTGCAAGGATACACAAAGGGGGGCAAGCTGTAGACACCGTATTTGGTCCGGCCTTTTTTTTTAATTTAATTTATATTATTGTATTTTACTTTAATTAAAAAAATATCATAGGTTTACTTTATTATTAGTTTTAATATAAAGTTTAAATTAACTAATTAAAAAGGTTAGATTTATTTAAATGTTTTTTATTTTATTAATAAGAATATAAAAATAGTTTTGTTTAGATTTTGTTTTATTATTAAATAGAAAAATGGATAAATAAAATTTGATTTGTTTTAAAATAAAAATACTCATTTTGTTTCCTGTTTTCCCTCGTCAAACCTACTAACGTGGCATCTCCTCCTCCCTTTCCTTCCCCCCTTTTCTCTGGCTTTCTTATTTTAGCATATATCACCGTTGTTTTTTTTAGTATCTAAGGGGGAGGAAGCACACAAGAACCAAAACACAGTGCAGAGAGTTAGAAACTCATCACCTCATCACCGTATCTTCTTCTCTCCATCTCTCTTATCCCACCATCATCACTTTAGAACACCATACAAAGAAGACCGAGAAAAATTCACTTCCTTCTTTCTCTCTACCATCACCTTCTCTTCTTCTTCACCCAGGCCGACGACCCCGACGATACACAGACTGCACACGTCCCCCGGTGATCACAAGTTTAGACAACCTGCACCCACAGTA